TTTTCTCACAGTGAATGACGTGGAAGTAACAAAATGTTTCTATTGGCTGATTGAAAAAATTTATGTCATCAGTGCATACTCGCTTCAAGCCGGTACAATCAGTAAGTAGGGGGAATACTCAAAATGCTCTATGCATGCCGGTCTTATTTTTATTCAGCAGCGTTGGCGGCCACCCACCATGGAGCCCAACAAGGGGACGCTGCAAGTTTGCGGAAGCTGAAAGCTTGCAGACGCCAGCCATACAACACTGCCATAACCCAATGCACATAGACCAAGGTAGGCTATTTGCACAGGGTTAACCCTTGCCGCCAGGAAAATTGGAAGTAAACAGAAGAGAGAAGTAGACAGGTCAGACTAGAAGTGAGAGATAAAGATGAAGTTGTAGGGGAGAGAGACAGGAAAAGGTGACTGCCGATTTCCCTTGGGTAGGTCAGTCCAGAGGCGCCGTCTACGTGAAGCTGGGGCCAAAGGGGTGTGTTGCCTCTGCCAGGAAGGGAGCCTTAAAGGTCCAATCAACAGGCGTCGGCTCAACCCCCAGGATCCTCTTTTCCCCGGACACAGCTCAGCCACGCACGGTTAGGTGTGGGAGGGAGTCGAAACTTCCTCATTAGCTCGGGTTCGTGGTATCGCTACACACCAAATGCCTGCTCTCACAGACGCCCCTGTGGGGAACTTAAATTCAGAAAAATATTTTATGTGTCATTCTTATGGCAACCAATGTAGTCGCCGATAACGCCAGCGTTCCCAGCACGTCGATGTCGTCCGCGTGTGGGAAATGCAGAACATGCTTCCAGGTTTAGTTCCCAAAATGCCATAGCAGTGTATGCCGACTAGGGAATTCATGTTTCCCGCGAAGTGCTGTTGGCTACGGCAGCACATTTTTGGCTTTCACTTGCATTGTCCCACCGTTAGGTATCCGCTGCGCTCAGCAAACCAACAGGTGCGTGGCATTGTTACTTTTGTTAAGACGTTTATTGGCGGACACTCGTCGATAATCCACGACAGCGACAGTCAATGCGGGGGCCGACTTTCTGCACGAGCTGCTCTTCTTTTTATGAAAAGGGCAACTCACTAGAAGGCACTGGAGAGGGCGACCCACTGTTCAAAGGCTTTGCCACAAGTACCCCGGGTACGAAAAGGGAGCCGCCTGGCGACCTAACAGGTGGTTACAATGAGCGGGTCATGGTAGGCCTTGAGGCGCTCCACGTTAACAATGTCGCGTCCTCGACGGCGCATGTCCGAAGATGGTTCGATTGGTTCAATCAAGTAGTTGACAGGGAAAGTGCATTTGACGACACGGTAGGGGCCTTCGTATTTGGGCAATAGTTTTGAAGATAGGCCAGTAGCGGTGGTAGGGATCGAGAGCCAGACGAGCGCTCCAGGGAGGAACGTGGGTGCAGTAGTGCTGGCGTCAGCGCGAATGCTTTTTTGCCGCTCTTGATCGTGTGCAGTAAAGGTCTTTGCAAGCTCTCGACACTCTTCAGCAAGCTTGGCGGCAGCAGAAATAGGCGCCCACTCGGACGGATCTGGCTTGTACGGAAGTATAGTGTCGATGGTGTGTGACGGGTGCCTCCCATATAATAAAAAGAAAGGCGAAAAGCCAGTGGTGCTCTGAGGGGCGGTATTATATGCGTAGGTGACGAAGAATAGAATGGAATCCCAATTTGTGTGATCGGTGGCGACGTACTTGGAGAGCATGTCGCCGAGCGTACGGTTAAAGCGTTCGGTGAGGCCATTCGTCTGCGGGTGGTAAGCAACAGTTTTGCGGTGAACAACGTTGCACTCTTTGAGAATGGCTTCAACAACTTCAGACAGGAAGACACGGCCTCGGTCACTGAGCAGTTCCTGGGGTGGACCGTGTCGCAGAATGAATCGTTGGAGCAGAAAGGAGGCCACATCGCTCGCTGTAGCCGCGGGAAGAGCGGCCGTTTCGGCGTATCGCGTGAGGTGGTCCACAGCGACAATGGCCCAGCGGTTACCAGCCGACGTCAGTGCAAGTGGCCCATACAAATTGATGCCAACGCGCCCAAAGGGCCTGGCAGGGCAAGGTAGAGGTTGCAGACCTACCGGTGACAGGTGCGTTGAAGCTTTTCGGCGCTGACAATCTATGCAGGAGCGAACGAATTTCTGCACGTAGCGGTACATGCCGCGCCAAAAGTACCGTTAGCGAATGCGGTGGTAAGTCTTCGATACCCCGGAGTGCGCACATTGCGGATCGGAATGAAAGAACTCACATATGTCAGAGCGCATACTGCGAGGTATGACTAGTAGCCACTGGCGGCCGTCAACGTTGTATTTGCGCCTGTGGAGGGGGTCGCCGCGAGTGTCAAAATGGTGGGCTTGACGACGCAACGCGCGAGTGGATGGAGTGGATGGATCAGCCAGTAAGTCTATCAGTGAGGCGATCCATTGATCCTTGCGCTGTTCAGTAGCAATGGTATGAATGGTAATGGAAGAAATGGCAAGGGGAGACGCTGAGTTGTGGGCATTGTCGTCAGGCAAGGGAGAGCGCGACAGGGCGTCGGCGTCAGCATGTTGCCTTCCATTGCGGTACAGCAAGGGGATGTTGTAGTCTTTCAGGCGAAGTGCCCTCCGGGCGAGAAGGCCCGAGGGATCTTTCAATGACAACCAGCATAGTGCGTGATGGTCGGTGACGACATCAAATGGGCGACCATACAAATAAGGTCGGAACTTTGTAAGGGCCCAGACGATTGCCAAACATTCCTTCTCGGTGACGGTATAATTAGTCTCGGCCTTAGTAAGCGTACAGCTTGCATACGCCACGACATATTCCGGGAACCCTGGTTTGCGCTGCGCAAGGACAGCGCCAAGGCCGACACCACTGGCATCCTTGTGTACCTATGTAGGGGCCGTAGGGTCGTAGCGGCGGAGTATGGGAGGCGACGTCAACAAACGACGAAGCGTTGTAAAAGCGTCGTCGCATTGTGATGACCACGAATGGAGAGGCCCATTACTTCCGAGCAGCTTCGTCAGTGGCGATATGATAGTCGTGAAGTTTCGAATGAAGCGCCGAAAGTAGGAACATAGCCCTACGAAACTGCGCAGTTCCTTGACGGATGTCGGCATGGGGAACTCGGCCCCGGCCTGAAGCTTAGCTGGATCAGGGAGAATTCCGTCCTTGGACACGACGTAGCCGAGTATTGTCGGCTGCCGAGCTGCAAATCGGCACTTCTTTAGGTTCAGTTGCAGACTGGCGTCACTCAGACGCATTAAAACATGCCGTAGGCGTTGAAGATGCGTCGAGAAGTCCAGAGCGAAAACGACGTCATCGAGGTAGCACAGGCACGTGTGCCATTTCAGGTCACGCAGAACAGTATCCATCATGCGCTCAAAGGTGGCGGGCGCATTGCACAGCCCAAACGGCATGACGTTGAATTCGTACAAGCTGTCGGGGGTGACAAAAGCGGTCTTCGGTCGAGCATCCTCAGCCATAGATACTTGCCAGTACCCCAAGCGCAAATCGAGGAATGAAAAGAATTCTGCTCCTTGCAGGCTGTCAATCGCGTCATCTACCCGCGGTAGTGGGTACATGTCCTTACGAGTGATCTTGTTGAGGCGTCGGTAGTCCACACAGAACCGCACAGAACCGTCCTTCTTTGGGACGAGAACGACAGGAGAAGCCCAGGGGCTGCTAGAGGGTCGAATAACATCACGGCGAAGCATGTCGTCGACATGCTCGTTGATTACATGGCGTTCTGTGGGAGATATGCGATATGGATGTTGCCGCAGTGGTGGCTGTGTGCCTGTGTCGATGCGATGCGTAACGGTGGATGTGCGGCCGAGAGAAGGTTATGCGACATCAAAAGAAGACCGGAATTTTTCCAACAGGCCCAGAAGCTGGGAACGCTGGCCTGGCGTAAGGTTGTCGGGAATGGAGGGACCGAATACATCACTGGATGATGAAGCAGATGTCGAAACAGCACAAAGCGTACTGGAACTTGAGCAGTGCATGTCATCGGGTTGATCCATAACTTGTTCGTCATCGATGGGTTCCACGCTGCCGAGACATTCCCCTCGCACCAACGTAACGCTGTACGGGGATGCGTTCACTACAAAAATAGTGGTGCTGCCATGAGTCAGTTGCACGGTCGCGAAAGGAACCAGCAAGCCTTTTCTGATGAAAACACGATGAGATGGCGAGAGGAGGGCAGCGGTGTCAGAAAGGCGTGCGCAGTAGACAGACACCCTTGCGGACGAGTTTGCAGGCACTTGGGTGTCATCTCTGACGAGTAACTTGCTTTCAGCAGATGGACTGTCGGCCGGCGTCAAAGAAGAGAATTGTGTGAGTTCTATTTCTGCTGGTGCGCAATGAATGACGGCGTCATGTCCCGGTGTCCCCCGCATCCGCGACCCTCCTGTCTTCACCGGCGCGGATGACACCGACGTCGAGGACTGGCTCGCTATGTACGAACGCGTAAGCGTCCCCAATCATTGGGACGAGGCAGCTAAACTCGGTAACCTGTTTTTCTACCTCGCGGGTGTGGCCGGAATGTTGTACAACAACCACGCATTTGATTTCCCGACTTGGTCCACTTTTAAAACCGCTGTCGTCGACGTGTTCGGCCGTCCTGCCGTTCGTAAACTGCAAGCAGAACAGCGTTTACGTGAACGAGCACAGCAGCAAATTTCATGGTTTTTGGCATAGCTCGGCACAAAAATGGAGAATTGTATCAGATTGGTACAATTGGCACAACTGTTGCACCCCTGCAATTAGTGACAGTGACCAGTTTCAACAGGAATGTGCCAATAATAAGATGTTGGAAGTGTTGGGGCCACTTTTGACTAACCACTTCCAAAGAAATAATACTATAGTGTAATGCCACAGGACTCGCAGCATCTTAGAAACCTACCAGAACATTTCCATCTGTCTCAGCCAAAGACCAACTGCTCAAAGTGAAGTAGCCAAAGCCAATCAAACGAGAGTATGGTTACTGCTTTAACCATTTTGTTTTCCAAACGTGAGAATTATGAATACTTACCAATACTTGAAAAAGACCCCCGTAAGAAGGCACCTGCGGCTGCCAGAGGCCCAGGTAAAACCGATACTTGTGGAGTACTGTTACAGGATAAACAAAAACAGTTTATGCACACAGCAAGAATAAACAAATAAAATAAACCTCTGCCTTAACTGAATGCATTCAAGAGAATGAGTATTTCAATAAATTACTTAATTTGTAAGACAATATGGCAGTAGTTGCTACACTGTCTGAAAAAGAATGCGGCGGAACCAATTTATGAGGATATACACAATAGGTAAGTACTCAACAAAAATTTACTGCATTTTTTTTCCCCCTACATTACACACACGCAACGAGGTTGTGAATTACAGCTATGCCACCCTAAACAATTTCAGTGACTACTATGTGCAATGCAAATGAACTTATTAGTAAAGGGAAATTCATGCTGTACATGGTTCTGGTCCAAACAACACACAGCTATGCTTCATTAACTTTTTTTTTTTTGATTTCGTCAGTTACTTAATGTCCGTCCTTCAGTGCGACCCAAGACTGCATGTTTTACCGTGCTTGTGGCAATGGCTCAAACCATTTTGAAAGGAGAGCTGATTCAAGAAACTATGAGGTAAAGGCACAAATATAGGCAGGTGAGTGTGGCACAGGTGCCTTTTCAAATAATCATTCATTCATACAAGTTACCCATGAAGACCCTCTGGTTGAGAGTGTTAAATACAGGTGCCTGAAACAAATACACTGCTTGTACTGAACTAGCATATTGAAATGTGACAATTTATGGCTAAGTAATGCATATACTTTTGCTTGCACTACCTTTAGTTCAGGTCATATGGGCTTGATTCAACTTGACTACTTAAATCAGAGCCTGCATTAACTTTAGAGCCCAGGTTTGCAGCAATATAAGAGTTATCTTGAGAAACTGTGTTTACCAGTCGCAACACTGAAAATTTTAATATTATAGCATTTTAATCTACGAGCACTGCAAAAATACATGAGTACACAATTTGTTTAAAAAACTAGTAAGCTACAAAACATGGCTACATTTACATGTCACATAAAAAACACAGAAATCCGATAACTCATGCTAATAGTTGGTAAAAAAAGTAAAGTACAGTGAAACAAAAGCACGAAATTCAATAATAAATGTAGTGCAGAGCTGAACATTACGTACAGCAAAATTAATAAAACTGCAAAATACGAATGTTTTAATGAACCACTACAATATACCACAGGCGGTAATTTGAACACGATGAATGAGGTCTTGCAATGTGCTTATAGTTTGTTAGTTGATCATGAATCAAGCCTTGAAATGTGTTGCTGTTAGCAACGTGCTATCTCTTCTAATACCTTGGTGTGTAAATATGAAAGATTCAGAATGAATAGTGTTTATAATGGCAACATTATCTTTATCAATTTAACTCAATTGCGTGCAATTTTTAAAGCAGTCACTCCACCAAAAAAGGCGAGTTTTCAGAGTAAACAAAGCAAGCAGCACAGTTTTGAAGGGCTTCAATATAATTGATTGATATGTGGGGTTTAACGTCCCAAAACCACTATATGATTATGAGAGACGCCGTAGTGGAGGGCTCCGGAAATTTAGACCACCTGGGGTTCTTTAACGTGCACCCAAATCTGAGTACACGGGCCTACAACATTTCCGCCTCCATCGGAAATGCAGCCGCCGCAGCCGGGATTCTAACCCGCGCCCTGCGGGTCAGCAGCCGAGTACCTTAGGGCTTCAATATAATTAATGATACAGTGTTCATAAATATAGTCCCAGATTCCACATGCATTTCCAACTTGAGGTTCGATTAACAAAGTATATAATCAAATTTACAATCGTGAAAAGGCACTTGTTTAATGTTGCGTTTAAAACAGCCAAAGAGGATGATTGGCAGAAGCATGAGTAGCGTTGAAGGGCACTAACACCAATTTTCCAAGCTGACTACTATATCATACAAAGCTCCTGTATATAAAGACAGCTTTGAGAAAGCGTGCAGCTAAAAAAATTATATAACATATTTTATTTGAATAATGATGTCAATTTTCACATGGTACACCTACCGACATCAACACTAGCGCGACATCTGGCTATAGCAGGCGTCTCAAAAAAATGGCCTGTGGCTCAGACCATTCACAATAGCCCACGGCTCCACACGGAATAAAGTTTTCCGGCTTCACTAAATGGTCCTCATATTATTTTGCATCTAATGTGATTAATGATGCTTTGCTCGGGTAAGCTATAGAGAGGACTGGCATCGCGCCTTTTTTCTTTTTTTTCTCATGAGGCACCCCATACAGTGGGTACGAGTTAAAACACCCCCCATGGAACAAGAATTGGCGTCCACATTTTAGTCATCGCAAAGATCAGTATCACTGTCTCCCAAAACATGGTGTTAAATCCCCCTCAGAATTAAACCGGAATATAAGGCATAGGAAAGGCATTCATTTGAAGGGGCCCTGCGACACTATTTGAGCATGTATTTTTCATCGGTTCGTCTGGTGCTGTGGAACGCGCCAATATGATTGCGCAAATGGGAATGCCGAAATTGACGTTGTTATAATTTTAATTCACGGAACAAACTTTCTTGATTTCAGACTACGGCAACACACATCGGCAATTTTTGTTATGGGAATGGCATCATTTCATGTGACGTGACAACAAGGACCGTTCGCTTTTTATTGGCTTGACACGACAAATAGTGTGCAATATTCATATGGTGGTAGCTGGGCCATACGAGTAAATCCTAAAAACAGCAAGAACTTTTTCACACTTTTCCAGAAAGAAATCAACCCTGTTTCTAAAGTATGTATTTTCAGAACAGCGAACAAACATAGCACTTAGCCTGCGAACAAGGCTATGGTACGCCAGAAACTGAAGGTGGAAACGCATGCCGCGTTTTTAGCCACCCAAAAATGCAACAGGTGGCAGGTGCCGGCATTGCCGTAGAACACATCTTGCAAGCCAGCCGATAAGTGAACCCACCCAAAGCGTATGTGTGTACCTTACACAATTTGACCGTGCGAGCGTCTGCTACCCAATGCACGTGGTTCGTAGTAACCATGCTAACGATGCCGTCAAAAAGAGCGGTAGTTAGGTATTCTGGGAAGGCCACCATGAGGTGACATTTCCGGTATGTCTTTATGAGACGCGCGCTGTGATAGGAAGCGGTCTTTGATGTCAGCAGGTGAGGTAAATGCGAAAGAGAACCTTTCCTGTCGTCGCCTGCTTGAGTTTTGAGCTTTGAGGACCCATAACTTCACTTTGCGTGCACCGATTTCTATCATTCTTGTTGCATTCCTTTCAGCAACCAAGGCAACAGGCGTTCCGGTGCGAAATAAGGCTACCCCAAAAGTGTCGCAGGGCCCCTTTAAATGGCAACGTCAGGCGATGTTTTGTCAAACTTTCTGCTCTGCTATGACCATATTTACTATCTCAGCCTATGGGACTTAATTTCGCGACTGCAGTCCACTAGCTGAGACGAGTTTGAGACCCTTAGGTTATAGGTATCAATTCTTAGGACTTTATGCATGGGTATGAACAATTGTGAAGAAGCCAGGTACTAAAACATGCAGATTGGCCGCTTGTGTACCAAATGGCTTGCCTTGTCTGGGCTCAAGGGGGATTTGACTTGCATTACTTGGTCACGATTGGCCTTGTTTTGTTTAGGATAATTATGCCAGGCTAAATGAAAGGAAGCCTTGGTCAACTATGCCTAATTAATTTTTGCTATACTTACCTCAACTCATCTGAGCTTAACTTGGCTTAACATGAAATGAAGACAGCAAGCTGAACTTGATTTGAATCAGCTTAATTAAATCTACTTATGCATGACTTTGTTAGGTGATACCATGCTCAACTACGTTTGATAGTTTGGGCTACACTTGCTTTTGTGTAAGTAGACTTATTAAGTTTAACTAGGCGACATAAGCAAGCTGGGTTGAGAAAACATTTTTTTATGCTTGGCTTTATTAGGTTATAGGATGCTACATATGCTTAGTTAGGCTAATTACCTGGTGTAAAAAACAATGTGAGCCCGGTGCTGAAACCGGCCCCGCCACAAGCGCTATGTAAAAGAACAGCACGGATTCGATCAAGAAAGAAAACGACCACCAGCTGCTGTTTTTGCTACGAGTGACATAGCCCCGTCAAGCAAAGCGTTGTGAGCGGCCACCTGATAACGACGGTATGGGCATGCGCACTGCAGCAGGCATCGCATTTGGTAGATGGCACGTCGGTGCATTCTGCCCCGCAGTCTGCACACTTTTGCTCATGTCTGTACATAGTCTCTAGCACAGTTACCTCACTACATCTAATGCCTACAATGTGTTTGCATACTTACTTTGCTCCTTTTGACCCGATATATAAACTTGTAATGTGCATTACCACTTTATGGGGAGGCGCCACGGTCGCCAGTGGAGGCAAATGCATGTCACATCGGCTCCGTCGATTTGTGAATGTTTCCGGAAGTTTTTCGAACTCTACCCTTGAAAGTGGCACACCATCGGACAGATCAAGTCATCGCGAACCCACGGATACCAGCTTTTTGGGTGAGCGTGAGCTTTACGAGCTTTAAGGCTCGTTAACTGCAAAAACTATACGAGTGAGCGTCTAGGCTTAATGGTGGTTGGGCCTGGCGCATACCGCGTCTAACTCGAAGACTGAAAGAACAGCCGAGATGAATGTAGACGAGGCAGGGACAGGGGAAGCCACGGACCACAGAACTGAACAAACAAGATGCGTTTCCACGAGTGAAGACGAAAACGCTGACAGCGTTGCAGATGGCTGGATTGAAGATACACGAAAAAAAAAAAAGAGGACGCACGAGCCAAAACAAGGTGGTGAGACAGGAAGACGCCCGTTCACCAAACCCGATGCACCAAGGCCGCCAAAGCATTGTCAGCAAGGTTCTACGAGCAAGCAAGATGCCCAGACTGCCCAGGGACGATATCAAAGTAATCGTTCGACCGAGGGACGGGCTGAATATAAGGAGCACATGCGGTGCGAGTCTTGATGAGGCGATACGCAACGGAGCAGGAGTGGGCGACGACAAGATGATCACGATCTGCCCCAACCCCACGCAAA